TCAACTACGTGGGAGTCCAGCGACATAGCCATTATGCTAACTGCTGGTTCCCGGGTCTTCATCTTTTGTTCCATGTTCTCCAACCTTTCTTTCATCTTTTCTATCTCTGTCTTTCTTGGCTGCATTCTGTGTTAATATCTTCAGATCACTGATTCTTCTCTTTGGCCCCATTGAGTTTTCTAATTTCAAGGATTGTATTTTTTATCTCTAGAGATCCTACTTATTTGGGACTTTCTAAAACTCTGCCTGCTAAGGCCTTATACTCTTCCTTTCTGATCATTTTCAGTTCCACCTTTTAATTCTTCCAACATATCTCTACATGCTGGGTTGAGTTATTTCAATATTTGCAGTCTTTGCCATTCAGATGTAATGGTTTAATTTTTTTTTTCTGTTGTTTCTAGGTATGGAAACGTATTTCCTTTGAGTTGAATTATTATTATTTTTTTAATGAACCTAGGTTACTTAAAAATCTTATCTGTGTGAATTCTTTGTGGCTTGGGTTAAAGTATGTTCTTCCAGAACAGATTTGTTTTGAAAACAAATGCTGAAAGCCTGAGAGACCAATATATCTGAAGCCACATTAACTCCTTCCTGTAGCCATGGTGCCCATGGAGCTGCCTAAGTCTGTCTTTTTGCTGTGTCTCTTCCTCCTGTACAAGTGTGGCCTCTTGTTTCCCTGAGCAGGCGCTTGCTCTAGGGTAACTGGCTTTCTCGGTTGCCTTCTGCTCACCTTTCAGGTTACTTTTTAACGTTTCATTTGTTTGTGTGTGGTTCTGTTGATCGGAGTATCACTGTGCGGGTTTCAGAGCGATGCCTTTAAAATACATTGTTGAGCTTCATCTAAGATCTATTGTGTTATAGTCAGATGAATGCCTTCCAACTGTCTGTCCTGCCACTGGGCTGGGAGTGGAACCCTCTGGCCGTCTCTCTTCCTCTAAGTCACTATTCTGGGGGTTGGGTGTATAGAGGTATTGCACTTGCTGCAGTCCCTCACTCCTTCCACAGTCCTATTTATTCTGTCTGCTTCTTTTCATGGTTGGCAAAAAATCAGTATAAATCCCCTGGGAGGACTGCTACCCTAAATGATAGTCTCTAGGCTCAAAGCCATTGGGTTCCAGAGAGGACCAGATAAAAGGTGGAGGTGGCACATGCTCATTATACTGTCATGGAACAAGTAATTAACTGGTGGGAAACCCAGCAGAGTGGCCCTGTCTAATCATAAGTTTATACCTTCCCTTGTTCGTCACAAGCAGTATTCATTCTCTGCTTGAACGAATGTGATTTCTCACTTTTCCTATTTGATACTTCCCGTCTCTTTGTCAAGAGAACATTTACCAAGTTTTATTGGTGATTATTAGCACATGGTTATGTGCTTTAAACTTTTAGAGATTTTATGAAGTCAGATGAACTTAATTGATGCTAATTTATCATCATTGCCACACATGAATTCGGCTAAAACGAAAAAGAAATCACAAGCATTTCAAATAGACCGCGCGTTCATTTTGATGAATGATTTGTGAGGGCGTGGTTAGAAATTCACCTTCCAATACATTCAGGATGGCTAGTCTCCTTTAAGCACGTGGCATCCTATAATGACACCCCCTGCAGTGGGCAGCGTTTGACCCCAAGTCTCCTCAGCTGGCTTGCACCATCAGGCGGACCATTGTGCCAAGTTATTAATAATTGAAGGAGCTTGTCACTCCCTGCTGAGTCCGTGTGTAATTTATGGATTATGAGCCCATGCTAAATCTCAGAGAACGTTAATTTCATCAAATGAGAAAGAGATACATTTATATTTAATTTTCATTCCCTAAAGTGATTTCTGTATACCTGTTTTCATCCAGAAATGTTGTCCGTGGGTGTTTCGGTTTCCTGTGTTCCTCACAGTAAACTTCCTTCTTCAGAAGTGACAGGGAAATACTTCTGATTCCTACTTTAGCGGTGTTTGAGAACTAGCTGTGCTCCCTCAGACCACTCACACGGCTCTCTGAGTTTCTGCTTATTTCTTTGTGAAGTGGTTGAGCTCGGGCAGTGTTCCAGGGTGGGGGCCGTGGAGACTGGGGCATGGTGTTTGATTCTTGGTGGTACCAGACACCTTTCCCGACATGAAACAATTTTGAATTAGGGGCTGTGGAATAATTTGGTTTCTATTCTTCTTTCATTCCTGGGATCTCTTTTAGAAGAAAGTTTCTGCTTGGGTCTACTGTGTCAGTAGTACCACTTGAATGCTGCTCATCTCCCTATGTAAGGAAGACAGAGAAGTTGTCAGGCTCAAAGCATTTTCACTGTGATAGGGTAGAGCTAAAATTTATTATCATCATTGTTTTCTTTCTTGTGTATTTACATACACATCCCTCAAAAAAAAAAAAAAAAAAGAAAACCATTTAATTAAAAAAAAAATTAAACCTGTGAACAAGGAGAAAGAAAGCACAATGAATACCATCTACCCTTCACCTAATTCAATAGGAATTAACTTTGTGGAACACTCACCTTCTCTCTCTCTCTCTCTCTCTCTCTCTCTCTCTCTCTCTCTCCCCCCGCCCCTTTTTTAAGGTTTTTGCCATAAGACTTGTATGCCGGCCAAAGAGAGACAGAGAGAGGAAAAGTGAGAAATCACTCCTCAGCAGGGTTGACCATGCCAAAACCCCTTCTCCTCCACTCTTCTCTGGGATTTTAGTCATACCCACGCACGCGTCCCTCATAATGTTCAAGACATCGGGTCCAGGACTCAAACCAGGGTCGGCCATGTGAGAGTCCAGCATCTTAACCACCATGACACTTGCTGACCAACTTACCTTATTTCTTAATCACTCATGTGGATTTGGGATCCTAGAGTGTAAGGCACAAGCTGGACCCTTCTGGAACCCACTGGAACATTACTGTATCAGTGCTTAGAGTCTGAGTGCTGGGGTTTATAGTGATGATCTTGAGGCGTCAGCAAGGGAGAAATTTGATAATGTCCATCACGCATTTTGCTAGTGAACATTACAGTGGGAATTCTTTCCACCAGCTTAAATTTAGCAGGCCGCCGGAGGCCCTCGAACACCCAAAGGAGACTCTTGCCTCACTCCCTCCTACACTGTTGGCATTAGGACTCTCTTCCTCACTTTTCACTTTCAGTGTGTGCTGCAGCCGGGGTCTCCTTGTGGTAAGGCCCCCAGGGGTGGCAGGAGAGGAGGGGAGGTACTCCCTGCTGTATGTCATGGGCGGACCTAGCCTTTCCATTGTGTTCTTGAGGAGTGTCTGGTAAGTGATGATGGTGGAGACCCACAGTCAGTTCCCAGACTCGTGTCCCTTCTGCCTCCACTTCCTCGCTATGTCTGCTACGTGTCCACTGTGTGCTAGAGGTAGGGGCCCGCTGACTGGGCCCCATCTTGTAGACCCAGCTCTCTAATGGGGAGCACAGGTGTTGAGCGAGTCCCACAGTTTGTAATACTGGTGGGAAGCTCTCTGTGTTTGTGTTGGGCCCAAGTGTGGGAAGAGGAAGTGTTTCGGGTTCTCCAGATCTCTGTAATGTATCATGAGATAGGTGCGTGAGCTTACAGGATATGAGGCCATGTGGTAGAACCTCTCACCCCTGCCCAGATCCTCAGCCACAGTCCAAGGTCAGATGCCATATCTTCCACAGAATGTTCCCAGGTGCCCTCCCTCTGTTCCCTCCAGCTAGAAGTTACCCTTCCATCCTGTAAGTATTCATCCCTCTCAGGAGTAGGTGCTTCTTCTAAACACCTGCTGGGTGCCAGGCATCTCAGAAATGCAGCTTGATACACCGAATGTGTGGCCTAACCAGGAATGAGCCCCAGCTTCATGCTTACCCTGGGCCCTGGTGCAGGCACCTGGGGCACCGACTCATGTCCTCAGGCCAGCGGCCCTGGGACGTGGGCGCAGTTTTACTATTTCCACTTAACCAGTGAGGAAGCATCAGGAGGGCCTGTATTTTGCCCAGATACAAAGACATGAACAAAACGATCAAAGGTGTAATGAGTGCTCCCAAGGGCCTGGTGGGAAGGGACAGCTGGGGACCTTGTTCCAGGGAAATGGCATGTGTGAGTCAGTCTGGCGTGTAGCTTATCAAGAGGCAGGCGGGTTCCTAGCCTTGCTACCAACTATCGGGTCATCAGAAAAGTCGTGATGCATTTTTTGCGTAAAAAAATATGTCATGACTCTTCCGACGACGCAGTAGCTCCTGGACTTGAAGTGAATCACTAACCATCTCCAGGCCCCCCCTGGCCCTGTAACGTAGGATGCCCCCATCCACCACACGGAGTTACGCACGGCTGACTGGGTAGCCTCGGCTGGGCAGCTGGCAGGAAATGGTACTTACTGCTCTGCCGCCTGTGATCTAACCGTGACGTGCTTTTGGTGAGGCTGAGGCATCTCCGTGGCAGTGTCCGTATGGATTCCGCTTTCTGTGCCTCCCTCCGGTGATGCATTTCCGTTAGGCGCTCGGTGAATATTTGTCGATGGAATGAAGGAGGGAGGGACTGCGTGAGTGCATAGCTGTCACCACAAGGTGTAGGTATCTCTTTGCTGAACGCTGGATTTCGTCTCTGACAGAAGCCTCCTCACGCAGCAGCTTCAGAAGAGAACGGGCTTTTCTCTCTGAAGTACCAGGCCAGCGTCGCCTGGCAGTGTCTGACTCCGTGGTGTTGGGGGGCATGCGAAACCAAGCACCGCTTGAGTTTTGTGGTTTAATGCGAGAGGTTGAGCCGCTGCTGCTGTCCTCTCACAAAGGTGATGTTTTGACGCCTGAGCCACACAAATTGAGCAGAAATGTCAGTGAGGGGAGATAAGTAGGGAAGGTGACAGCGCAGGAGTTGGGACCCCATCTTCAAAGCAGGTCCACCTGTTGCCCAGGAGTTTGCAAAGGGCTAAATTGTGCAGCAGAGGAGCCAGGATAGAGTGCAGGTGGGTGGGCTGCCTGCAGGGGTCTCTGTCCGAAAAGGTCTGATCTGTGTCCTCGCTTTGTCTCCCGCCCCTCCCCGTGTCCTCACCCACAGGAATGGCATCACCAGCTGCCGGATGCGGACTGAGAGCGAGCCATCGTGTGGCTCCCCGGTGGTCAGCGGAGACCCCAAGGAGGACCACAACTACAGCAGTGCCAAGTCCTCCAACGCCCGGAGCACCTCGCCGGCCAGCGACTCCATCTCCTCCTCCTCCTCGGCTGACGACCACTACGAGTTTGCTACCAAGGGGAGCCAGGAGGGCAGCGAAGGCAGCGAGGGGAGCTTCCAGAGCCACGAGAGCCACAGTGAGGCGGAGGAGGACGACAGGAAGCAGAGCCAGAAGGAGGCCAAGGATGCTCTGGGGGACAGCGGGTATGCATCCCAACACAAGAAGCGCCAGCACTTCGCCAAGGCCAGGAAGGTCCCCAGCGACTCGCTGCCCCTCAAAAAGAGACGCACAGAAAAGCCCCCGGAGAGCGATGATGAGGAGATGAAAGAAGCGGCCGGGTCGCTCCTGCACTTAGCAGGGATTCGGTCCTGTTTGAATAACATCACCAATCGGACGGCAAAGGGGCAGAAAGAACAAAAGGAAACCACAAAAAATTAAAAACAAGTCACTGATTTGTTTTGAACTTATGGCCATTTGGTTTCAGCATGTCAGGAGATTTCTAATGATTTGTGGCAATATCAGCAATTTTTTTTATTTCTTTCTTTTTTTTTTTTTGGTTTGGTTTTCTTTTTTTTCTTTTTTTTTTTTTTTTTTTTTTATTTTGCCCCCTCTCCTTTGTTTTGGACCCTTAAGAATTTTATTTTTAAAGGAGATTGAAGCCATAGAACTCATATTGACACTCAGCTGTTTTACAAAAGCTTTTCATTATCTGAAGACAAAATCGAAAAAGCCAAAATTACCATTGCTTCCTCCAGCTTGTCAGAAACATGTGGCCGAATCCAGTGATGTCAGCATTAATGCCACAGAAGTACGCGTTCGGCACCTAGAAGGCACGTGTGCAAAGGGATTATCTTTCAGGCCCAGCCCTTAGGTTTAAAGAGTCAGGATGTCCGTGCAGTTGTGCTCACGTAAAGCAACTGGGGAGAAGGAGGAGCCCCCGACCCCTGGGAGCAGACCTAGGCTTGTGGCACCAGGCATCCTCTTGTGCCAGGAGAACCCTTGGCACTGTCATGCAGTGAGCACAGGGATCTGCCTACAGTCCTCTGTACCTCTTGACACTGAAGCCTGACCACGTCTTACAAGATGGACCCTGGACGGATCCTATATGTCAGGTGTCCATGACTAATGAGAAGAAACGGGGTCCATTTATAGTGATGTTGCTCATCATTGATTCTGTTCTGTAGTAAATTAAGAAAATGTTCCAAAAGCCATAAGCCTGAGGGTTGGCCCTACATGTACACGTAACACACTCTCTCTCTCTCTCTCTCTCTCTCTCTCACACACACACACACACACACACACACACACGTGAGAGTAAGCCTACTGGTGCAGAAAACATGCTGTGTCTTCTTAACTGTTCAAGGGAAAAGTAATTAAATCCAAGAAATCCCGATAGCTGTTAAGGAAGAAAATAATGGTACCGATCTGATTCTGTCTATCAAAACTATTTAATCCCAGTGAAAACAAAACACAAAGCTACGGAACCTGCCATTAAGTATTGTGGTGTAATTTTAAAAGATTAAAGGCACATTGATGGACAAAAAAGAAACAAAAAAAACACAAAAAACAAAAAGAGTAAAACATGAGAAAAACAGAAAATAACTCCTATAACTGCCCTCAAAATGGAGTTTGCAATTAATGTCAGTCAAAATTCATCTTTGCAAAAATCACTGATTTCCACATTCAGCCAGAGTAGCCAGCAGAAATTTCTGACCCACAATGCATGGATTCCTTTGAAGAAAAAAAAAAAAAAAGAAAAAGAAAAAAAAAATCACAAAAACAAACTTTTTTTAATTCAAAAATAACAAAGTTCTTGTAAGGTAAATAATGTATTTAGCATGAAGCATGAATTATTTTCATATAAATATAGAAAATAGAGAAAAGGCTATGCCTCTAATTTTTAAGCCCTTAGGCTTAGAAGTTCTTTTGGTTTCCTTTCTTTTCCTTTCTGTGTCTTTTTTTTTTTTTTTAAGTTTCTTTTCTTTTTTTTCTTTTTTTTTTCCCTGGGTTATTTTGTTTTGGTTTTTTGAAGCAGGTGTTTAAGGTTTAACCTTCTTCAGGGACAAATTCTGACTGTTGGGGAACTTACTCTGCAATATAAAAATATCTTCATGCTCTGGTAGGGCTCGGATGGTTGAACTCTGTACACTGCCTTGTCTGCACTTCAGCCCCGACCCCCTCTGATTCTCTGTTGAAACGCGTGTCCTTTCTCTTTGTCTGTACATGTTTCACATGACGCAATAATTTGAGGGCAAACTTAGTAGTGAGTGTGTATGATAGAATCAAGAGAATTATGGGACGCTTACTTGAGGAAATCATTGCTGTGATTTGGTTCTAGGAAAAGGCAGTGAATAATTATGCAAATTCGCCAGGAAAAGGGGAAACATGCTAATGGGCCTTATTGGGTGAGGGTACGAGATAGGGTACACGTGAAGGAGGAAGTGACACAGGGGTTGGAAGGCCAGCCCCAGACGCTGCATTGTGACCACGCCATTTCGCAGTAGGAAGGAGGGGCCGGCTATCTGTACCACCTCAGCACAGGAACTAACCTGGAATTAAGACCACCTAGATTGTGAGAGCTGAATTTAGACAACCGGATGATGTCACACAGACCAGAAACTCCTGTTATCTTTGCCTAAAAAAAAAATTTTTTTTTTTAATATTTTTTTGAAGATCCAAAGAGAAATCTCTCAAAGAATAGGATCTTCTCCCCACATGGAGGGAAGTTATAAAAAAAAAAACCCCAGAAATATCCCCTACTGTGGCTCAGGTGATGGTAAGGGAAACGAGGGGAAACTGAGGTGATCTTGTATTTTTAAAACAAGATCGTTATCGGGCAAAGCTGAGCCCTTTTGCCAGGACCGGGCACTGTCAGAAGTTCCATCAGCCAGAACAGTAGGATTCACTGGTGCATTCCCAGACTTAGCTCCTGTGAGTTACTAACGCGAGAACCTGGCAAAATGTATACTTCTGCCACAGGTCACGTTTGTTACCTGACCCCGGTAATTCCAGCATATGTGTGCAGGGCGCATGCGGGAATAAAGATGCATTCTCTGCAGTGCTCTGTCCCCTCCCTCTCTGCAAACATCGGACACCCCCAAAGCCACCTACAGCCAGGGAACCTGAGCAGCACCACAGTGTGTGTCATCACTTGACCAAGCCCCAAAGACCACCACCTCTGTTCCCCACCTCCCCCTCCCCTCCGACATGATAAAATTCAGACTTCTCTCCTGAACGGCAGAGGTAAACGTTCAGGACGGTTTCTGGCAGGGGACTTCTTCCAGTGAAAACCCCCACAGTGGGCTGTCTCCCCTCATTTCAGTTTTCTGAAGGGGCAAAGGCCTCTTTTAGAAAATAATAAAATGCAATGTGTGTGATTTACTTTTCTGATCTCTTTGAGAAATAGAGAAATATCTTATAAAAGTGTGTTCTTAACTCCAGAACCACTCTTTGCATAAATACCTCATCGGGCAGCTTTCTAAGTGTTATTTTCCTGAGTCTCCCTGGGCCCCCTTGCTGGGTCTCCTGGAAGACTCATTGGGGAAACTTTAGTGAGGGTACTTTTTTCTATTTTTCTTCTGTTTTTGGAGGCATACACATTATGCATAACCAAAACAATGGCTCAATTGTGTTTAAACTTTGTATTTTGATTGTTGAGAAAAACAAAAAGTATCAATGTGTATGTGGCTGTTTGTAGTGAATTCATTGCAGAATGAGGTTGTCCGTGTCCTTAACAAGCCCAGGGGCAGGAGGCACCCTCTCTTATCCCTCCAAGAGCAGTAGAGAATTTAAGCACAAGCCTATTTGTGAAAGAATATTTTGCTTAAGTGTATTTCACTTTAGTCTTGGAATTCCTTCCCAAACGTCAGGTGTTCTTTTAGCTTCCAAACTAGCATATGTATCCATTAGTCTGCCAGATCGCCTGAGCACCATTAAGGGGGGTGACGTTTTTGCTTTCATTTATCCTGCTGGGAGAAATGGCGGTTCGTGTGTCATTCCAGTATGTAATATCTCACATACTCACATGGGGTGGGGGGGAGGGGAAGCGGGGAACTATAGCAATATTTAAAGATGCTTTGGAAAACAACCACCGTGATCACATCAGCACCGTGACATCTGCGATAACTTGCTATTGGCCCTCGGACACATTTAAGAGAAAGGGACTGTAGCTCTTTTTTTCTTAAGTGATACACACATAGACAGTTATTTTATCCTCCTATAATTGTCTTTTATCTCTATGTAGTACTATGTGGAAAGGGTTTGCATCATAGGTTTTTTTCCCAGCCTTATAATACACCAGAAGCTCCTATTTCCCTGCCCCCTCTTTAATCAGTATACTTTGAAGAGGTCTTCGGGAAAGCCTGCGTAGTGTATCTGAAACTAAAGGGCACTGAACCCACGTTGGGACGGTGTTCGGAGAAAACCATGGCCAGGGCAGCTGTGGCCGGTTTCAGTCATGGGGGTGAGTCTGTAAGAGAGAGTGTGCTGAAGGCTTTTCTCGAGAGTGGATTTAGCTTGTAGAGAAATTCTGCTTGCCATTGCTTGCCCTCAGCAGTTACTAGCAGGGCGTTCTGAAAGAGGCCATTGTGTGGCACGCTGCCCCTGCCCGAGGAACAGCTGCAGGCAGTGGGCTCTGTAGGGGAGGCCACATGGATGGCTTTCGTGCCCAGCACTGAGTCCAACAACACCCCGGGACTGCTCAGTGCCAAGTGCACCGGACCCAAGTTTCAGTCCCTCCCCTCTGGTTGTGCTGTGAGGGGCCTTTAGCCTCTCCCTGAAGAGCTCTTGTGAGAAGGAATCAGAGTTACGGACAAGTGGCCTACATGGGAGGGTTTTCCGTATGGGACTGGATTCAATTCAATGTGATTTCTCTTT